CTTCTGTCAATTCACGACATAGCGCGACCCCTAGCCAATGTCTTCGGCGGCGAGTATTTGTCCTCACACCTGATCTGCTGCACCCTACTGGTCACAACTTTCGTTGTTGTTGGCATTTATTTTCAGCAAGGGGCAGGCTGCAATATCTTGAAGGAACATTATGTTATCGTCTATGGGATTTGAACGCAAGGCATCACCAACCAATGTTGCAGTCAGAAAGGTTAATTATTGAGATAACTACTGTCATGTGTCGTCTAGTCTTTCGTCCAGTGCAGACTGAATTCTGTCATATAATGGCGACTTGAATATACGGAAGTAAATCATTCAACGAGTCAGGTGAAATCATCGCAGTTTCAAAAAGGCTTTCCCCACTTACTGTAAGATTTAACTCGCATGCTCACATAACGAAACTACTTGTTTCTGATGTGTTCCATGAGTTGTGTGGTGATTAAATTACAAGACTTAGGCTGTTCTTCTAGATGACATCTTCAGACCAAGATTTAATATAGATTGAACTATTGAATTGAATTTTTGATTTTCCCGTCGATTGATTGGACCGAAGTGCTCGGTCTCAGGTTGACATGTCGGCTTCTTGTGTAGATGCTTCGACGATGTCTGGGGATTTGGTTTGTATACAATTGGTGGATGGTGGCTAGCAGTGGAATCCAGGGTGCGCATTTCGTCCTAATTGGGACTCGTCAGCTGGATGTAACTGCATTTCTCAGTGAGTGATGATGTTCCCACTGAGACTCGAACCCTTTCGGTTACAAGGCAAAGTCGTAGACCGATATCAGCTCGTGATGAAATCACAAGACTAATCAAATCCCTGCAAACCAACGCTTGAGTACGAATTTGGAGCTCACCAGCAATTGGCCCCCTTCAGGTAGCTAATGACCTGATTTGCAGTGGGAACTCGTGATCAGTGGGGTCCACGTCGTCGGATGTGAGCACAAATACTCGCCACCAATGACACTGACTTGTGGTCAGTCGCTCTATATCCTGCTTGACTTGACAGAAGTTAGAATTCATGGGATGCTATCGGGTCTCGTCCCAGTGACTAAATGATCTATGAGGAGTTTGCCTCCTCGTAGGGTAAGGCTGGAAAAGTGCTAGTGGAGGCACCAGTCAACGAAATCCACAACAGTTAGTTTAAGCCACGTAGGAAGTGGCATACTTCCTGGTTGGGGTCCTCGGGACGGTAAAAACCAACGAAGCCTGGAAACTATTAGTGATATGGCTCAAAATCGTTTTCAATGGTTGGCGCAGATGCAACCACTCCTTGTGACTTATAATTTCTAATGAAACTACATTGTTCTTCGTTATTACTCCTCCTTTGTCTCACACCTCTGCTTACTGTCTCTATTTCATATTCCCTCTACTTTCTTCTCTTGTTTTCTGTGCCATATTTTATTTATTTTTTTTATTTCAGCTTGACTCCACACCGTATTTTTTGATACGAGTATGGAATTTTCAGCATGGATATCGGTAGCCCAAATTTCGCAGGCCGACCATAGATATCAAGTGTGCGTCAGCAGGGCATCGAAACCCGGACCATGTGCATGATCGGCGAGAGTCCTAACCGCTGTGCCACCGACGCACACATGGACGGTGTGTGTGGCGACTCGAAGTGCTGCACATCCGTGCACAGTTCTATGTTGAAACCAGTCCAGTCCAGTAAACGAAAGGGTCGTGTGTTCGAACCCGTCCCTAACTGAGGTTACTAAAGCTATCATCAATCTGAAACTAGGTAAAACAGCGGGACCTGATGGAATGACTCCAGAAGTATTTAGGAACAGTGGAGACAGTTTACTGTCTGCATTAACTGAGGTACTAGGCAGCATCTGGGAATCAGAAGAAGTCCCATCGGGTTGGTGTAAGTCACTGATTATCCCCATATACAAGAAGGGAGACAAGTCTTCCTGTGATAATCACAGAGGGATTAGCTTGACTAATATAGTATCTCAAGTCCTAAGCTCAATAATCATGCGTAGACTAAGTCGTGCTCGGGAGAAACAAACACGAGACAGCCAGACAGGCTTTAGACCAGGAAGGGGAGGTATTGATCATATCTTCACCCTCCGACAGATTCTAGAACATAGTCATTCCTACCGGTGTCCAACAGTCATTATATTTCTTGACCTAAAGGCAGCATTCGACTCTGTCGACCGAGAAGTACTCTGGCGGTGGTTGGCTGTAAAGGGAATTCCGAGAAAATATATTGCACTGATTAAGGCACTCGTTCTTCGTTATTACTCCTCCTTTGTCTCACACCTCTGCTAACTGTCTCTATTATGCTTTTCTTGTGCTTTCTTCTCTTGCTTCGTGTGCTACACGGAGTGTGGCGACTTGAACTTCCGCACATTTGTGCAAAGTTCTATGTCGAAAATAGACAGACAGACACACCCTTGTGGTGAAAGGATGCCACCGATGACTCCTAGGCGCTAGGACAAAACAACCAGCTGTCCAGTACTCCCTGGAGGTTTTCAATGGTTCTCTAAGTGATTAGCAGTCTGTGATCAATTTGAAAGTAGAGTATTTTCTTCGTTAAAATCTTCCTTTTGATGATGTTTCACCTTACAGGATGATTAATTTAGTAGCTTTTTGGCTGTTCGTTTATATATCTCTAATAATGAATTGATAAATCACAATAGAGAGAAAGAGAGAGTGGAAAGTAGTCGACCAAAAATATGAATAAAAAGACATGCATGCTGATAACCTTGACCTCGTTTGGAATGAAACAAAATCATTTGCATTCATTTTGTTTGTTTTTTTTGTTGTAGTCGTACCCATGTTTATACATTTATAATTTATTTACAGCCATTAACCCACTTCCACTCACTATCTCTCTCACACACACATACACGCGCATACAGTCCAGCTAAGATACAGAACTATGATTCTTCTAATTGGTCCTTAATCAATACTAGATTTATTTTCAAGGCGTTCTTTCTAGGGATTCCATCTGTTTCAAGTTTGATAATCACGGATTGATATCAGTTGGAGAACCATTGGAAACAACCAGGAAGTACTGGACAGCTGGTTGTTTCATCCTAGCGCCTGTAACTCATTAGTGGTACGCACCCACCCACCAGAAGGCGAACCCACAACCTTCCAGTAGCAAGGCAAACTAACTCGTAGACCATTCAGGCACTGAAACCCAATTCAATGGTCAACCCATGAATTCTAACTTCTACCAATTCGTGATTTTTAGTGAGACAAACAACCAAGTTCATCGGCGAGCATTTGTTCTCACTTCCGACAGGATGGACGAACCTACAGGACTGAGTCCTCTGGGGGTTCTCCAACGAGAAGTCGTAACCAGTGACGTCCGTCCTGTCAGGAGTGAGGACAAGTGCTCGCTGATGGGCTTGGTTGGTGGTCAAGATAAAAATCATGGGTTGGTAAAAGTTATAATACCTGGGTTGGCTATTGAATCGGGTCCCAGTGGCTGAATGCTTTACGAGCTAGCTTACTTTGTAACCGGTAGGTCCTGGGTTAAACCCCTACTCAGTAGGTAAGTATTATCGGTGAGTTTAAAACTAGGATGAAACAGCTGTCCAGTACTAATTGGCGGTTTTCAACGATTCTCTTGCTGATATCAATCTGTGGTCGTCAAACTCGAAAAATATAGACAGCGTTAATGCCGTATTCAGAATGATGGCAAAAATGACATTCACATAGGCTAGACTGGACTCCTAGATGTTGTTTGTGACTAAGTTTTCGTTTATTAGTTCGCAAAAATTTCAAAAGTTCTGCTACCACACTGGAATACGGCATATTGTTATGTACTAGTTTCCCCGTCGCCAAATTGTTATGTACTAGTTTTCCCCGTCGCCAAATTGTTATGTACTCGTCGCTAAATTATTGTTATGGACTGGTCGAGAAACTAATAGTCCTGACGCGAGAAGGCGGAAATCAGAAGACCACTAGGTTTGCGATGATACTTCTATTGTCCAAACACAAGGAGACGAAAATAAATGATCTAACACCAAAGTGGTCAGTAAGTAAAGTAGTTGTAAAGTAAAGTAGTTCACACAAATTGTGTATGCGAATATATATAAATAATTCAGACAAGCGTGGGAAAAATCATTAGACAGTCTTAACATGAATGGCTAATTATAATGGAGTGTCGATCCAATTATACATAGCGAATATAGCAGACATGCCAACAAACATATATGGATATATGTCACCAAGCAACGGACTGTCAACAAACACTCATATTATATATAATATAATATAAGGAGAATACACATTATTAAAGGAGACAAGTCCATACAAGTGAAGTGGTCACAGACTAAGCGAGCAAACAGAAAGAGAGACCAACATGCACACACACACATAAATATATATATGTGGATACATATCACATATCTATTCGACTCTCTGTATCATCCAACAACCTTGTAGAGCTGACAATTCTACTGACACTTCTCTTTCAAGAGGTCCATTCAAAATCAGATAAAAGTTTCATATTGTTCTGGGGGAAACGTCCAAACGATGCACTCGTTCAAAAGAAAGACCAGGTGGAGTTTTTACTTCTACTTTCTTCTCTTGCTTTCTGTGGTCCATGGAGAGAGTACGACAAATCGAATTGGTGCTTATCTGTGCAAAGTTTTACGTTGTAAGCAGTCAGTCAGTCAGTTACCTGGCTTGGTGATCCCACATAACAAATATGATTAATAGAATTCAGTCAGAATCAACACCAAAAAGTAGCTCTATTTGACACTGATTACTTCTGAAGTGATCGATTAATGTGTCTATCCATTACATTGTTATATAAGAGGTTAGTTACGCAACCATATATGTATTTTCAGAACTCGGTGACGTGGATTCGACAGCAATCCCAACAAGGTTACAAATATGTCCTGCTGTGACAAGTGCTAACCAGCGCAGATCATACAGGTGTCCAGTCCAGGGGGGAAATCCTGTCGATGAACACCAATCATTTAACAAAAAATTAACCTTAATAAACAAAATTATACCTGGAAATAACTTACTTTTATTTGTATTTACAGTATTACTTTGCTTATTCTTACTAGTCTTATCAGCATTGACAGGCAGTTTAGTACTATCACCTATCGCAGATGCTTTCATCGCTTGAATGGCTACTGCAGAACGATTACGAAGTGATGGTGGCACATAGACAGACGCTGGTTTATTCACTGATGCATTGACAGTTGAATTTGTGGCCTGATCAGATAAAGGAAACAAACAAAAAAAAGGAGGTAAAGTGAAGCACACTTGATGTGACATGACGATCTTAGTAACAGTTTGAAGTGTTGGTTATGCAGTGCATCGATTAGTTCCATGTTACATACCGTCCTGAATCCACACCATGTAGAAAACTAGTGAAAACCAGACAGCTGTTTTGTCCAAGCTAGGGACTCTTCAGGACTACGCACTCATGATCTCATCGATGGTTGTACTCGTTACCTTTAGGTTAACAGGCAGGCAAGTTATCTGCTATTTCAACAAATTTTTCATTTTTCAAGTATTGGTTTTGTAGGGATTTTGTTTGATTGCATGGAGGATTTAATCATGAGCTGACATCAGTTAGAGAACCACTGGAAAACCTGGGAGTACTGGACAGCCGTTTCGTCCTAGTTTGGGACTCCTCAGCAGTACGCACCCACCGGGATTCGAACCCAGGACCTTCTGGTTACAAGGCGAGCTCGTAGACCATTGAGCCACTGGGACCCGATCCAATGGTCCTTGAATTCTAACTTCTGCCAATTCACGACATAGCGCGACCACTTCGCAATGTCTTCTTCGATGAGTTACTGCCTCATCTTCAACCTGCTGTACCCTACTGGTCACGGCTTCCCACTAGAACCCCAGGTTAACTGCCTGAATAGGGCCAGTCACTAGTGAGCATCAGATTAATCTTCAAGTATTGGTTTTGTAGGGATTTTGTTTGATTGCATGGAGGTTGAAGATGAGGCAGTAACTCATCGAAGAAGACATTACGAAGTGGTCGCGCTATGTCGTGAATTGGCAGAAGTTAGAATTCAAGGACCATTGGATCGGGTCCCAGTGGCTTAATGGTCTACGAGCTCGCCTTGTAACCAGAAGGTCCTGGGTTCGAATCCCGGTGGGTGCGTACTGCTGAAGAGTCAGTCCCAAACTAGGACGAAACAGCTGTCCAGTACTCCCAGGTTTTCCAGTGGTTCTCTAACTGATGTCAGCTCATGATTAAATCCTAAATTTTTCATTCACGAGGCTATGAGATATAAATTAATCGTGATGTCAGTCGATGATAGCATCCAGTTGTTCAAGCTCCTGATCTAATGATGCAAGTCGATTGCACTGATCAAACCAAGACAAAAGCAATGTCGAGGTGTAAGGACAACAGTGACACTGGCTAGTGTCAGTCGCATTATAATCGGGAATTGACAGAAGTTGGAATTCATGAGATGGCCATTAGATCGGGTCCCAGTGGCTGCCTAATAGTCTACGAGCTCACCTTGTAATCATAAGGTCCTGGATCCGAACCACGGTGTGTGCGTACTGATGAAGAGTCCCAAACTAGGACGAAACGGCTGTTCACCACTCCCAGGTTTTCCAATGGTTCTCTAACTAATGTCAGCTCATGATGAAATCCTGTAACTAATCAACCAAATCCCTACAAACCAATACTTGAATATAACAATACCTTGAAATTCAGGGACATTTGCTAGCAGTTGTGCGGTACATTGGCCTAGACACACACTCCAGACATCATGCTGCAGTTCAACAGCATGAGTTATTGGCTTTTAGCCAAAAGGTACTAGGGTTCAAAATGAGTAATCTGTGTGAGGATTAAAGCAAAATTGTTTTCCTATAACTTATATACTCACTGGGGTTATACATATGCATACAAAGCCGTAACCAGAGGGGTCCACGAAGTCAGATAAGAAGACAGTTCCTTGCCTATGATACTGACTATCATTGGGCGCCACTAATATCACCAATCGACAGAAGCTAAAATTCCTTCACCACAGGATCAGGTCTAACTAGCCGAATGTTGTCGCTGGAAGGTCCTGGGTTCCAACACCGGTTGATGCGTACTGCTGCTGAAGAGTCGTGAACTAGGTCTAATACACTTTGGTTTCTATTGATCAGCTCGTGATCAAACCCTGAAAAGAATGAAATCCCTCGGTAAGCCAACACAATAACTGTGTGATTCATTCTTCGGTAAAATGAAACATCCGTATCATCAGATAACTGAATTCATATGATTATTATTATTGTTTCCTTTAGTTCCTTGAAGAACATAGGGCTTCAGCCACACACGTCTCCATTGCGTTCCTTTCTCTGCCAACCTTTTCACCTGCCTCCAGGTCTGCCCACATGCTTTCATCTCCTCTTCACATCACCTCCCCCTCCATATCACCCTCTCACTGACCACCAACTCGCCACCTCATACTCGGGTTCCACTCAAGCCATGGCCTGATGTGTGATGTCACTCAATTGATGGTTTGTTTTCTCAGAGTTTGGTCAATCCGCCTCCATTTCTTCCTGCATATTTGTTGCACAATTGGTAGGCGTATATCATTGTTATTCTCAGGGTGTTTCAGGGCTTCTATCTACGGATTTATCATGTTAGGCTTTCCACATTTTTCTTTTGTTTTAGTGTAAGTGCGCATTGTGCCCGTACTTCGTCAGTCGTTGTTTTGTCTATCCCACTTAGTGTTATTTCTATTTTAAGGATGACATCCTCAAGTTTAAGCTTGTTCACGTCTATGAGCTCCATTTCCAACGGACTGAGTTGGAAGCAGAATAGAAAGCCTACAAAAATTATGCCTGAAAGATTGGTTCGCTCATTGCCAGAGATCCCTAATTATTTTTGATCTTTTCTCGCCGGCGTCGGTGGCACAGTGGTTAGGACTCTCGCCGACCATGCACATGGCCCGGGGTTCGAGCCCACGCCGGCGCATACCTGATATCTATGGTCGGCCTGCAAAATTTGGGCTACCGATATCCGTGCTGAAAATTCCATACTTGTACTGAAAATACAGTGTGGAATCAAGCTGTAAATCAAAAAATAAAATAAATCTTGAGTAGTACTGAGAGAAGTCAGCTGTTGGTGAAAGTCTGTAGTTTGTTCAAAGTGGCCTTCGTGACCTGGCACAGCTCCAAATGTCTGATCTCTATAGTAGCACAGACGTTACATTGGACTTGAAAATCCGGATCTTATTTTCATTTTCATTCTAAATGTGATGTTGATCTCCACACAAACCTGAGATTAATGGAAGCTTGCCTTGCTTTACCGATAGTCCTCATCAGTTTCATCCACCTGTAGTTGAAACGACGATGCTTCCCAAGTAGGTAGGTAGGTAGGCAAAGGAGATTGCTTCTTTCACATTCCTCCGTCTTATGCTGACTAATTGTTGTCTGTGTTGTTGCTGTTGCTGTTGGCCGGGAATCTTCATCATCTCACCTGAAGGAAATCCTATCTTTGAGACTTCTGGTAACTTGTTGTTTTTCACTTACATACCTTCCAGTTTGTGAGAAATCAGACATATATCGTTATGGACAAAATCCAGATAAATTCATATAAAGCAAAATGTAATTCAAAAAAAGGCATACCATACATACCATTATCATTTATTAATATAAACTTACAGACATATAACTTTTTGGTTCAGGAGGTGGACTGAATTTCGCTGGAGATACAATTGATACTTGATATAATTCATGATCGATAGCAGCTGGTAAATCCATTGTAGCTGGTCTGGGTACAGCACGACGTTCAACTGGTTGATAGGATAACTGTTTACCACTGTAATGCCATATACCAAAGCTTGTATTTAAAAAAAAAAACAACCAAAAAATTAAAATTATAAGTGAGTGATTTTCATCTTCAATCATGATTGGTTGAGATTATACAATGTATATATATTCATTCATTCCTAGCTCTTTTAGCTGAGGATTCAAGCTTTAAAAGTTTTAGTAGTCATGCAGTAGGCTCGTTAGCCTTCCATCTAAACTTCTCTTTTTTCTAAGCTAACCACTGGCTAGCGAATTAAGCGAGATTTAGAAAAGCGTCAACTGAGAAAACACTCTCGGATCTGCGGCTTATGACTGACAAGTATAATATTATTCTTGATTGCATACTAGTCAGTAACTAGTGTAATGTGCCGGCAACCATCTGATACCAACAATTCACAGTGCACCGTAATGACAAGCCAGCCACCTAGTAGTGGCATGGTGGCCACATTGCTAGTTTGACTGATAGAATGAATTCAGTCTGCAGTGAAGATAGGACTAGACGCATTACACTAGTTACTAACTAGTGTGCAATTAAGAATATCCAATACAGCAGCCCTACAGGAGGTCAATCGCGAGCTCGAACGAGTAGCTCAGTGGTAATGTGTCTGACTGCAGCGCTCACTGGGTGACATGGGGTTCGAATCTCAGAAGGGACATGAGTTACTTCAAGGTTGCAGATACGCCTTACTGACTAATGAGTGCTAACTAGCACGAAACCTAAGTCCAAGGCTTCTTGTGGCCGATTGCCTCCAACCATCTAATACCAATAATATTAGTCGTTCTTTAAGCAAAAGTTAATAGATGAATTGAAGACGAATACTCTTTATATAATTTAACTAGGTCGAAAAGAGCATCAGTAGTTGAATGATAGAATGCTTAGCAGCTGATAAGAAAGTGATCCGGGGCCGGATCCCTGACCGACGACGACGTACTCCTAAACCTCTCTCCATCAGTAAGCTCGATGAGAACAAACAGAGAAAGATGTTGGGTTTTTGGGGTAACATCTCCACTACCCACTGTGACCAAAAACAACAACACTACCCACCGCCCCTGAAACTTCGAAGTAGAAGACTCCTCGAAGACTTATGCTCCACTAGGGATGCAAACGAATGAAAAGAGCCTGACAAAAAATCGATATTAATAATGATAATGAAGAACATACTGACTATCTTTAATTATACTAGTGAGACCATCAGATTGGTAGACGGTCATTGATGTCAAGTAGAGGATGAAGTCATGAAGATTTGAGTTACGGAAAGATTGAAACTATCGACTTCGAGGTAAATCGAATTGATTAAGAATACCCGTATTCTGGCGACCTCTTTGGACGGACTGGTAATGCATAAAATCGAATTCTCAATAGGATAAGGTACCAACCACGACATATATTATTGGCTTTCTCTATTGCTATCTATGGCAGCAAGTCTGTCACTTTTAGTTTTTGAATGAACTCAGAATAATTGGTGGATGGTGACTAGTGCGTCGGTGGCACAGTGGTTAGGACTCTCGCCGACCATGAACATGGTCCGGGGTTCGAGCCCGCACCGACGCACACCTGATATCTATGGTCGGCCTGCGAAATTCGGGCTACCGATATCCATGCTGAAAATTCCATACTTGTACCAAAAATACAGTGTGTAATCAAGCTGTAAATCAAAAATAAAAAAAAATAAAAAAATAGCAGTAGAATCCAGCCAAGATGCGCATTTCGTCCCGTTTGGGAGTCGTCAACTGGATGTGCCTGCATTCCCCAGTGAGTGATGATGTTCCCACGGAGGCTCGAACCCAGTGCTCACATCCTGGCTGGGTTCCACTGCTAGTCACCAATTAATTTCTAATTAAATGCCCAGACATCATCGAAGCATCTGCACAATAAGCCGACATGTCAACCTGATACCGAGCACTTCGGTTCAATCAACCGACGGGAAAAATTTAAAATTCAATTAGAACTCAGAATAAACTGTCAAGTCGAATTATGAAATCAATACAAATAAAGGACCTGGATTTCCTTCCAACTGTGAATGAGAAATTCCTGTGCTTTCAACAGTCTACCTTGATTAAACGTCGGTTGAATAACGCAGTTATACAATCGAGAAGTGAGCCAGTGATTCAACGGTAGGAATGTTCACCAACAATGCCGGAGGTCCAGATTTATTTTCGTGGGACACACTCCTAACCCTCACCCAGAAAAAGAGGAAAGGTTGGATGCGAGAGTAGTAACCTTTCTCAGTGTGACTTCAAAGACTTTATGGATTGATGGTATTTTTTTTTGGTTATTGATTCCATGGCTCCCAACTCTTTTCCAATCTAATTCGACAAATATTAAGAATAGTGACCACAGAGTGGGAACATCCAGGTGACCTTGAAACCAACCAATGATAAAGAGCCGCTTATTGAGAAGAAAAATATATTAATGGGGATATCTTTCATCCTTGATATGAGTGAAAAATAGATCCCAGTTACGACAAGGGCTATCAGATTTAAAGTTAAACCAGTTTTCTAAGCATACATTGATTTAGATAACTAAAAATGCCATAATTTTGTGAGCTATTTATCCCTCGAATTCAATTCTTCAGTCATCCGCACAAAAGATTTCGACGGGATTAGTATGCGTTCCAGTGATGGGCGGTCGACAAATTCATAATAATAATTAACACGATGATGGGTGAAACTAAACCCTGATAATTGATTGTATCGTGCACATTATACTACCCGAAGTTACTAATCGTTGTATAGTAGGTAGAAGTGTCTTCCTTTTTACCGATAGAAATATCGTAAACCCCAGACAGATGCACATTATTCGTCCTACGGCGACCACAGTTGTACTTTTTTTTTTTCAAAACAACTCCATCCATATGAAGTATAACCGTATCACTTCCCGGAAACCTGCGTGGCAGGATTGGTCCTCTGGGACACTATATCCTTACAAAGTTGGTACTATTGGATAGTAGAACCGACGAATTTCCAGTCTGTACCGCCGTGGACGTAAACTCAATCTTTTTTTTTTGATTTACAGCTTGATTCCACACTGTATTTTTGGTACAAGTATGGAATTTTCAGCATGGATATCGGTAGCCCAAATTTTGCAGGCCGACCATAGATATCAGGTGTGCGCCGGCGTGGGCTCGAACCTCGGACCATATGCATGGTCGGCGAGAGTCCTAACCACTATGCCACCGACGCACAAAACTACACGCCCGAGCGCACCCGATTAGGGTCCGTCGCGAGTTTCAACCCACCGATGTGCAATGGTGAGCCTCCACCCGGGGTCAGAGCATTCTTGATCACCCTGAACCCGGCGCCAGGTAAGTTTTTGTAACCCAATAATAGCAGATAAAATGTATGTTAGTCAGGGCAGAGAAAATTTCGATTTCGAAAAGAAAGTTTCTGGAAATTGCTGAATAAAGTGTATGACACACCATTTTGAACACTAGTTATTCTTATTAGATCGGCCACAAGAAGCCTTGGAACTAACTTTCGCGCTAGTTAACCACTACTCACCAGTCATCAAAGCTTATCTGCAACCTTAAAGGAGCTCATGTCCCTTCTGAGATTCGAACCCCATGTCACCCAGTGAGCGCTGCAGTCAGATACGTTACCAATGAGCTACCCATTCGGGCTCGCGATTGACCTCCTGTAGGACTGTATAATGGATACTTTTGATTCGACACTAGTCCTTCGTTTAGGTGCAAACTGAATTCTATCATCGGTCAAGTTTGTAATGCAGCCACCATTCTGAATGGCTCACCATCAGGGTGTACTTTGAATTGTTGATATGAGATAGTTCGAGGTTTCGTGCTAGTTGGTAATCGTCAGCAAGACGAGACACCTAAATATGATGGGGTGGCTGCATTGCAACCTTGATTGAGGAAAAAATTCAGTCTGCATCAAACAAAGGACTAGATAAATGATACTAATTACTAAAATATTGTCCAATCATCTGTGTACATCTGAATACAATGTCGATCAGTTGCGTTCGTACATACAACGTCCGCAGGAGTATTTGTGACAAAGTACTATTATTCCATTAAACCAAACAGTACATAAAGCGCGACAAAATCCATATGAAATTTACCCCACAATTCGTGAATGGTGATCAAAGTGGCTCTGTAATCCAACGAATGTTCAGCGTTCAAAGCGACTGATGAGTTTACACTCCATAGTCGCTATATTATTTATTATTATTATTCCCTTGGGTTCTTAGTGAAACATAGGGCTTCAACTGCACGTCTCCACTTCCTTCTGCTGTAATTTTCACCTGCATCCATCTTAGTCCATACTCTTTCAACTCCTCTTCACACAATCTCCTCCATGTCACCCTTGCACTGACGACCCACTCGCCGATTCCCTTTCGGCCCGGCTCCACTCGAGAAATGGCGTGACGCGCGTACGATGTCACCCAGCGGCTTCCTCAGCGAGCGAGTGTCCATTCCATCTCCACTTTCTTCTGCAAATTTGTTAGTTGGCGAATAGTTCTTGTTTTGTTTGTTTGTTCTGATATGTATCCACATATATATATTTATGTGTGTGTGTGCATGTTGGTCTCTCTTTCTGTTTGCTCGGTTAGTCTGTGACCACTTCACTTGTATGGACTTGTCTCTTTTAATAATGTGTATTCTCCTTATATTATATTATATATAATATGAGTGTTTGTTGACAGTCCGTTGCTTGGTGACATATATCCATATATGTTGTTGGCATGTCTGCTATATTCGCTATGTATAATTGGATCGACACTCCATTATAATTAGCCATTCATGTTAAGACTGTCTAATGATTTTTCCCACGCTTGTCTGAATTATTTATATATATTCGCATACACAATTTGTGTGAACTACTTTACAACTACTTTACTTTACTTACTTACCACTTTGGTGTGAGACCATTTATTTTCGTCTCCTTGTGTTTGGACAATAGAAGTATCATCGCAAACCTAGTGGTCTTCTGATTTCCGTCTTCTCGCGTCAGGACTATTAGTTTCTCGACCAGTCCATAACAATAATTCAGCGACGAGTACATAACATGTTCTCATAGTTTCTTGTTGTGGGTGATTCTTTCCGGCCCGGCCATCTGATCTTCAGTACAGAGCGAAGAGTATATTCTTTAGGTTGACCCTTAATCCAATCTCAGCTTATACTGCTCGGTGAAGAACACGATGACCTTGTGATGCATAAAACATCCCTTATCCATCACAACCGATGCAGTTTCATAATTTTATCGATTGACCTACTACCTTCTTATCGCAAACTCTACGCCTAATTTCAATATGATCCGTTTAACATGGAGGATACAATTCAGACACTTATTAATGGTCAAAGACAGCTAACCTCTTTTAAAGGGTCATGCATTTCTCATATAGTAGTTGTAACATGCATAAAGAACAGGTACAAAGAAAAAACGGCAATACAATATAACTAACCCATTATTTACACGTAATCTTGGTGTTGTTGTTGAAAAGATTAAATGTTCCCCATCTGGACACCATTGGACACTTGTTACATCAACTGTTTTAAACGATGACAATTGTTCATGTGTAGTAAAATTCCAAACAGACATATCACCAGATAGATTTCCTAAACCAGCTAATAACAATAGTACACTCCAGTCAAAATAACAAATAGAAAAAAAAATAATTACGAAAAAAAAGAAAAGTTAAGGTTCAAAAGCAGATGTAACCGTTTTAAAAAGTTTCTATATTCTGATTACAAAACACAGTGTTATGTAAGACTTAGAGACAGTTTAATTTTTACTTAAATAGGTAATCAGTCTTATAGACTGGTTGGTTATATCCTCTGGGGTCCCTTGTGATATAGTGCGCGATTACAAAGTGTTATGATATCAACGTTCTTTGCAATACGTTGACCGCTGAAGGGAATCTCAGCACGAATACAGAAGGCTTGTTTCGCATATGCCAGTTTACGCCGTCTCTGGCTTAGTAGACGTGATATCCGGCTAGCTATCGACCAAAGGGCAGGTGTACTGTTTAGCAGTCCCCTCCGTCCTCCATGATGGCTGTGAGCAAGACATGGGCATTGAGAGTGGGAGACATAAAAGCCTGCCTAGCTGTCTTTGACTATAGGTGCCTGCGTTCTATCTCCTGAGTGAAGTGGTTTAATAAGGTGAGCAACATTGAGGTTAGGCATCGGTCGAGTGCTGAGTGAGAAGGGGAAATCAATCGACGACGCTGTGAAGCTACATCGACTGAGATTGTTAGGACACGTGTTACGCATGTCTAGCCATCGCCTTCCTCGACGGGCAAAGTAAGCTGACATAGGATCGATGAGGTTGGACAAGAGCCAATGGTGGTCAAACCGAAACCAACATGGCTTCATCACTCAATGAAATCCACAACAGTTAGTTAAAACCAGTCAAGCATGTAGGAAGGTGTACGCTTCCTGGATGGGGTCCTCGGGACGGCAAAAACCAATGAAGGCTGGAGACAATTGGGGACATGGCTCAAAATTGTTCTCAATGGCTGGCGCAAATGCATCGACTTCTTGTGACTTCTCTTGCTTTGTGTGCTACATGGAGGGCGTGTAGCGACTGGAACTGCTGCACATCTGTGCAAATTTCTATGTTGAAACCAGTCAGTCAGTCAGCAATATGTTGAGCTGAATAAGGATACTGAAGTGGACGCAGATGCGCTGATCACAAATATAGCTTGATGACTACACCGCCGATAACAACATTATATGTCAGTTACCTGTTCATCCCAAGACTCCTCTAGTTAAGCGAGAATACACAACGACATGAGATGGAAAGTATATTCCAAAAGTAGGCGTAAGAGATGTCTATTAAAGGAGAATCGATTGTTTATCTGTCTGTATATCACAAAGTTAGGTGACCCGACATCCCAGTGTACCATGATGAATCCGTTAAGATTTTGAAGGCAATAGCGTCATGTAAACCTGCTACGATCTCTAGGGTGCGGGCAAGTTGGCAACTACTCATCAGCAAGGGATTTCTATGACTCCTCACTCAGTACTACAGTCGGTAGGACACTTTCATCACTCAGCTTTTGACCTCACTAATGACCGCCTAAAGGATCGTAATGGGGACACACACACACACTGGTTAGTTCTTAGGGGGGGGGATGTTATTAATGTCAAGTATATTTCCATAGTGTTCAGTATTGATATTGAGATGAATTATATCAAGGTCCAGTGCTTCCTACCTAAATTAATCCACATTAAACTTTGCTCACAAGAATAGCAGTTCCAGTCACCACACTCCAGATATTCAGGAGAACTAGAAGGGGAAGAAATATACTAGAGGAAGAATTTTATCATAGTGATTCTTTAATCCAATGAGCGTTAGGCTTTCAAAGTCACTCCATGGTTTAGTTCTGAATGGAACATAGGCCTTCAAGCTTGAGATTTGAAGCCTCGGTATGAGGTTGCTTGCCTCACACTTAAACTTTCTACCGCGGACGACATGAATGGTTGGTGAGCGTTCAATCTCTGAACCACAAACTCAGAAGGGAAAGAATAGTACCAAGGAGAAACAGTAGGTATATGAGAGATTACAAGGAGTGAATATGCATCTGTACCATTCAGAACGGTTTTGAGTCACATTATCGATACTCTTAAGTCATTGGTTCTTAGCATCCCCCCAAGGAGCCCAAAATAACCAAGCACTACATTCCTGCCTTACGTGGCTAGTACAAACCATATGTCAAAGACTTCATAGCATATGCCAGGTTTTGGTTAAACCAAACTTAGTTCTTTTGTAACATAATCTTATTTCAGCTAACATTGCTCAACGTGGAAGGCATACACTTCACGTGCCCTACTCATCTCACAGAAAAATAGTTTGATACAGGACATTACAAATACAACATGGGTGTGTTCCACGAGCTTTAAAAGGCTTTCTTGTGGAGTTTTCATTATCCTTCTAGGATAACAGTTTTCCTCCAGCTATTATAAATTACTTTCATGTGAACTCTACCAAAAAACTAGGAGCCTAACGGGGAAGAAATCAACACAAATTATGCCAGTGAGGGATGACAATGGGAAGTCAATCACCAAAGAGATGGAGCGAAAGAAACATTACTACGGGATGTCGCCAACAATTATACATCTAATCCAGCAGTAGTAGGATAATGCTGCATGCCTCCAAGTAATCTACAATGGGAAACTCACGGAGTCCTTCGAAGAAGTGAAGACGGGAGTAAGACAAGGCTGGCTGCCTACTATCTCCAATGATTGATTTCCTGATTCCTGTAGACTGGATAATGCAACAGACAGGGGCAGACAGTGAGGAAACAGGCATAAAATGGTTTTGCACAAACTGGAAGATATCCAAGTGAAAAGCAACAAGTTGGCCATAGAAGAAGCATCCAGAGAAGATAGGACTTCCTTCAGGTGAACATAGAGAAGACAGAGGTAGGTGATGAAGATTCCTGACCAACAGAAACATCAACAGCATCAACAAGAGACACTAATCAGCCAGTATGAATGGAAGGAGTCTGCAAGAAGCCACCTTCTTAACCTACCAACCTACCTGGGAAACATCGTTTCAACTACAGGTGGACGGAACTGATGAGGATATCAAAGTGATGATCATCGGGAAAGCGAGACAAGCTTTCATTTTTCTTACATCTGTGTGGGTATCAACAGCATTCAGCATGAAAATGAGAATAAGATCCAGATTTCCAGATCCAATGTGAAATCAGTTCTACTATACGGATCAAAGACTTGGCGCCGCGCTACACCGCGTCAAGTAGAGCACTTCAAACAAACTACACACCTTCATCAACAGCTGTCTTCCCTCAATACTACTCAAGATCAGATGACCGTCCAGAAAAGATAAGAAATAATTAGGGATCTCTGGCAATGAGCTAACCAACTCAGTAGGAACCAATTGTGCAAGAAATATACACGAAGAAATGGAGGTGGATTAGCCATACGAACAAGTGAAACCACACGACAGGATCTCGAGTGGAACCCGGACGGGAAGTGGCGAGTTGGTCGTCAGTGAGAGGGTGACATGGATGAAGCGATGTGAAGAGGAGATGAAGGCATATGGCCAGATTGGAGCCAGGTGAAAAGGTTGGCGGAGAAAGGAACGCAATGGAGACGGGTGGCTGAAGAAGCCCTCCAGAAAATAAAGAAAATAATAATAACAATAGAAGCTTTGCAATGAATTCAATAAATCCTTCAAGCCAAAAAGCATAACCACAAAATAATTCCATTACTGACAGAAATGAACAAGTGCCTAGATGAGAGTGTCTTTGAATAACACACAGCATAATACCAAAGTTAAGGAACAGATGTACACTTCATAATCACAATCTTATTAGATCAATTTCTCTGCTTGTCTATACACAACCTGTATTAATCCATGATAAAGCAACTTTAAGAAAATGTTGATTTTGTTTTTTCAAAGAATGTTAAAGTAGAAATTCTTCTCTAATTGTTTTGAGTAAAATATTTGTCAGTTTACAAGGTCAACAGATACTCAGTATTTTTCAGGCAGTTAACCTGGGATTCTAGTAGGAAGCCGTGATTTGTGGGGTGCAGTAGGTTGAAGGCAAGGCATAAAATCATCGGAGAAGACATTGAGAAGTGGTCGCTCTATGTCATAAATTGGCAGAAGTTAGAATACACGCAATGGCCATTGGATCGGATCCCAGTGACTCAATGGTCTACGAGCTCACTGGCATTGTGTAAGCGAGCGGTCCCGAGTTCGGACCCTCTGTGGTTGGTGCGTACTGATGAAGAGTCCCAAAACAGGACGAAACAGCTGTCCAGTACTCCATGTTGGTTTTCTGATGGTTATCTAAAAGACGTCAACTCCTAATGAAATCCTTCAGCTAATCAAATAGATATAAGTTGAAACAAACTGGAAACTGAGAAATGAAATCATAGGCAGACTAAATTGCAAATATATACGACGACGCACCAAAATCTAACAGAGCATGCGATGATAGACCGGTATTAACCTCAGCCTCACTGACTTCGAAAAAGCCTACGATAGTGTCAACATTCGATTCAACATTATTATAAGATGTGCCCTGCGGGTTACCTCTGCATAAGTCACTTCACTTATTTGGGAAGTTGCATCAGCCAACGCCAACGGGTTGATCTCAGACGAAATCTCAGCACGAATACAGAAGGCTTGTTTCGCATATGCCAGTTTACGCCGTCTCTGGCTTAGTAGACGTGATATCCGGCTAGCTATCGACCAATGGGCAGGTGTACTGTTTAGCAGTCCCCTCCGTCCTCCATGATGGCTGTGAGCAAGACATGGGCATTGAGAGTGGGAGACATAAAAGCCTGGCTAGCTGTCTTTGACCATAGGTGCCTGCGTTCTATCTCCTGAGTGAAGTGGCAGTATAATAGGGTGAGCAATATTGAGGTTAGACATCTGTCGAATGCTAGGTAAGGAGACGGAGGGGAAATCAATCGACGACACTGTGAAGCTACAGAGACTGACATCGTTAGGCACGGGTTACGTATGCATGTCTAGCCGTCGCCTTCCTCGACAGCGGTCACTGTTAGCTGATATAGGATTGATCAGGTTGGAAAAGAGCTAGTACTGGTCAAACCAAAACCAACATAACTTCATCAGTCAATGAAATTCACAATGGTTAGTTTAAGCTAGTCAAGTAGAAAGGTGTAGACTACTGTTTGATTGAGGTCCTCGGGACGGTAAAAACCAATGGTTGGTAACAATTGGTGATATGGCTCAAAATCGTTCTGAATGGCTGGTTGGCGCAGATGCATCCACTCCTTGTGACTTATGATTTCCAATGAAACTACATCGTTCTTCGTTATTACTCTTCCTTTGTCTCACACCTCTGTTTACTGTCTCTATTATGCATTTCTTCTACTTTCTTCTCTTGCTTTGTTTGCTAAATGTTGGGAGTGTGGTGATTTGAATTGCTGCATATCGGTGCAAAGTTCTATGTCAAAAATAGACAATCTGCAGAAGTCTCATTCAATAACTATACGATAATCCTACATAGCTCCGCAATGTCTGCCGTGGAGAGAGAAAAAAAAGGACGGGAATACACGTTTGATCAATAAGATTCTCGAAGATTCGGATTTTGTGGACAATTTATGCCTAATGCCAAACAAAATTGAAGATGTACAATTGAAGAAAAGGAAGCAGAAAAGACAGGACTTCAAGGCCATATATATATACAGAAGACAGCTGTGATAAAGACAACCAGTCAGCCAACTAACCAACAACAAGCACGACGAAGGAGATATTTCAAAGAGGTCATATCTTTCACTTATTCGGGTAGTATCGTTTCAACTAGACGCGGCACAGATGAGGATGTCAAAGGTAGGATAGGAAAAGCGGGACAAAACTTGATTACTCGGGGAATCAATGTTGAAAATTCTGTTGTGGTCAAAATAAAGAACAAGATTTAGTTTTTCAAAACTAACTAATGACATGTCAATCAGTTCTTCTGTAGAGTTCAATGACTTGGTACATCATGGAAAGCATTTATAATAGCCAACTGCAGCACACTTTTAACAACATCTGCTTTCGCTACCACGATAGTGAAGATCAGATAGCCAGAAAGGGATGTTTCAAGCAGTAAGATGTTTCCCCTTCAGATGACACCAGCATGCCAGCTATGCTGTCTCTTCAATCTGGAGAGAGGAGTTTACAAAAGGTCAACCCTGACAATTATACACGCCTAATTACCCCACACAGTAGTCCTTAGCCAGCGGTAAGTTACCAATATGGAACCAAACCAAAATGTCAGTTCAGACAGGTCATTTATGTCCGACGTCAAGCAGTTTCCTTCTAGGCTCTTCGGTCAATGCAACACTAATTCTTTTTCTGTTTTAGGTATTACTAGAAAAAATTAACTTCCACGTTGTGGTGGTGGTGGTGGGGGGGGGGAGGTGGGCAGCTGGGAAGCCCTGAAGAAACTCTGGGAACCAAGGAATCAACCAACCAAGAACCTATTGTTCAACAAGTATGCCGAATGAAATGAAGATGCATTAAACATATTGCTGAGGTGACTGTCGAGTGGAATCGCATGTCAGGCATGTAGGGTATCCGAATGGGATAAGGAGTAGGTCATGTGAAGAAGAGATGACAGCTTACATCTAAAGAGGTCTACAAAGAACAGGATGAAACAGAGACTCTGTTGAATCTCTACGTTTCAGTCGGAAAACTAGAGAATAATAATAATAATCAGCAATGATACATGGCAATTAAGTCACAATAGAAAGTGCATTGAAGCGTTTGAAATAGAGATAACAGTAAGACAGGGGCTATCAATTATCCCTGATGATCTACCTCATTGTCTTCGAATAATTCTCATGACAGACCATGAAGAACGGGAAGACTGGCATATATATATTAGTTTGACAAAAAAGACCTAACTATTTGGATTTGGATATCCTCGATGCTGTGTTTCATGTTACACAAACTCGAAGATATGTATTCAATCTGAAACCAACAATTTAACAGAAGAAACAGTGAAAACACGACTTGAAGAGAACATTAGAAAGGACAGACTTGAAGATATCCAACCAACAATGGACACCGACTTCTATCACCAAGGAAAAGTTTAAAGAATATCGTCTCTTCCACTTTATTTGGAAAGTATTGCGCGTCAACAACGAATTCTGAAGATGGGTATGTCTAAGCTAGGCAAGATCGCATCGAGAAAGCAATGCAAGTTATTTATAAGTCAATATTAGTACGAAGATACGGATTTTCAACAGTAATGTCAAGTTAGTGTTTCAATATGGTTTAAGAATTTGGCGCGGGTGTCACTAATATTATTTACTGCAACAGGCATTCTAAACGGAAAAATAGAGAGTAGACAGCGGTGTCCCACCCACCCCCAACTTGGAAACCAAGGAAATAATGTTTAGTGCATCTGTGGTTAAGTGATACAACACACACCCTCACCAACCAACCAACACCCAGATGGTCTAAGATTCAATTCTCAACCGGCATGTATCTTAATCTTGATTAGCCCGGTAGTAAACCCGGTAGAGAGGAAAGGTTCGACATGAGACTAACAATCTCATACCATAAAGTAAAACACACTTGCAATTTCTATTGGTTTGTAGGGATTTGATTGATTGGTTACAGGATTTCATCATGACCTGTCATTGGTTAGAGAATCATTGGAAAACCACCCTGAGAGTACTGACAGACAGCTGTTTCGTCAGCCTACTTTGGGACTCTTCCACAGTACGTACCCACCACAAAGGATTCGAATTCAGGGCCTTGTTTTTAAAAGGCCAATGAGCTTGTAGACCACTAGGCAGTCACTGAGATCCGATCCAATGGCCAGCCCATGAATTCTAACTTCTGACAATTCACGATATGGCGCGAAAACTAGCTAATGTCCTCACACCCGACTGGCTGCACCTTACTATACATGAGTTCTCATTAGAACGCCAGATAACTAACTAACTACCTGAATAGGGTCAGTCGCTAAAGAGCATCTCATTGATAGACATTCAAGTAAAAAAAATGCACATTATGCATATAGAAAAGGATATAATTCCCATGTGGATTGAAATGAATTTCATTCCATGATCCTGTGCCAAGCTCATGAACTGGTTCACAATTTAAATTGAATATTGTCACCGTCGCTGGCATAACTATTAATAGATAAAAAAAATAAGCAAAAATCAAAACGGATTGATTCAACAGTTGTGATTAAAAATATACAATATTATACAATCTCTGCATTTTTCAAATTGTACACTGAACTCCAAATAACCTTGTCTACAAAACCGATGAATGGCATGAACATGAAGGATAAGTGACCACTGTTGATTGGCCTCATCAATGTGCATCTACCAACTGACATGTTTGTGTGGAGCTAGGTGTATCGGCAGTACCCAACGTCCTCTATCCAAACGTATCTTCGAACACTTACCTTCAATGTTTTTTTCCTTCTTTCCTGGAGCACCTGATTGAGTTTGGACACGGGAATCTTACTTTGAGATTGCGAATGCAAACTTTTTCAAACCCCGCAGAAGCAATGGCAATTCACATGTCAAGAATCCCAAACCCTACATACAAAAGAAGTTTGTTCAGTCATCAAGAGTTTAAATTTGATCTAACCTATCTTAAGACGAAATACGTAAACTTTTGTTTCGTCTCTGGCGCTGGGTTCAGGGTTGATCAAGAATGCTCTGACCCCGGGTGGAGGCTCACCATTGCACCTCGATGGGTTGAAACTCGCGACAGACCCTAATCGGGTGCGCTCGGGCGTGTAGTTTTTTGTCATTGGGGAGGCCTCGCGGTCCTCTTCTCACTTTATGAACGTCGGTGGCACAGTGGTTAGGACTCTCGCCGACCATGCACATGGTCCAGGGTTCGATCCTATATCGACGAACACCTGATATCTATGGTAGGCCTGTAAAATTTGGGCTACCGATATCCATGCTGAAAATTCCATACTTGTACCAAAAATACAGTGTGGAATCAAGCTATAATCATGGATAAAATTGATTAAAATTGTTTGTTTGTATATTGTATAATATTTCCCTCCTTCGCCTCTTATTAACACTGTTGTTAACTTGACTTTCGTTCAGTTTTAATTTTAGTTGAGCTCTACTCAAGTCGGTCAATTAGATTGAGTCACTCGACTTGCTTATTTAATCTTATTATAGTTTCTAACCAATCATTAAGGAAGGACTGAAGTTTCGATCCATGACCCAATCGACCTGTACCTGTATCTAAAAAAATCAACTGAGTCGTCATAGTTCTATGCGTGTATGTGTTCAAAGTAGACTCATTACAGCTGACTGTTAGAATTCACATAAGACAGCGTGAAATAGATCCCCCAAAACCATGTCCAATTCTCGTCGACTATACCGGTGAAATATTGTTCATTAATGATTAGCTTCAGAAAAAAATTATCCTGACCGACTGACTGGATCCAACAAGCTGGGAGCAAGAACAGATATGCAAAGAATAAATTTTTGCAATGAAATAATTGGAAGCAATCGGCCACAGGAAGTTTTGGATTTTCTACTTTTCGTGCTTATTGGCACTCACCAGTCATCAAGGAGTATACGAAATTTTAAAAGAACTCATATATCCCGCCCCGCCCCCACTGAGATTCGAATCCATGTCACCTTGTACTACCTTGTGTCAGAGATGCTACCACTGAGTGATTCAGGTACACGATTGACCTCCTGCTGGACGTTGTAGCAGACTGAATTCAATCGTCAGTCAAGTTTGCAATATGGACATAATTAATTTAGGTGATAGAAACCACACTGATGCCGTATGATTTATGAATGATAACTACGTTTCAAACAAAATTGATTGAGCATACTTATTGACAAGTATAACTGACACATTTAATTAGTATTTAATTGATGGATGGTGACTGGCAGTGGAATCTAGGGGGAGCATTTCGTCTTATTTGGCACTCGTCACTGGATGTACCTGCATTTCTCAGTGAGTGATGATGTTCCAACTGAGACCCGTCTGGTGGATAACGCTTTGGAGTTTGAAACTATGGGCATTGGGTTCGAGCCCCAGTGGGAATATCATCACTCACTGAAAAATGCAGGTACATCCAGTCAGCTGACGAGTCCCGAATAGGACGAAATGCGCATCCTGGTTGAATTCCACTGCTAGTCACCATCCACCAAATAAATACTAATCAAATGCCCAGACATCATCGAAGCATCTGCACAAGAAGCCGACATGTCAACCTGAGACTGAGCACTTCGGTTCAATCAATCGACGGGAAAATGAAAAATTCAGTTAAATATAACTGAAACAACTTTCAAAATCCGCTGTTTTATACACTGACATATTACTCGATACTGAATTAGATAAATCGATAAGAAAATGGATATTGGATTCTATAATTATTCATCCATTTTTTGTCGTCCGATTGGAACACAGGGATTCAAAGCTTTTGAAGTTACAGTAGTGGTGACGTTTTTGTGTTCTTTTTTAAGCGGTGGGATCTCTAGCCTTACACTCAACCTTCCTTTTTTCCCGGGTTTATTATCGGTTAGGCGAGATTTAGGAGTGTGTCGGCCGGGTATAGAATTTCGACCTCTCGTGTCGCTGGTGAACATTTTACCACTGGATTACAAACGATTGGATTGGATGCGAAGTCACTACTGATGGGCCTGTTTAAATTCTTGGTGTAGCCAGACTAAAATTTCGAACCAGTATCAAGTGAATGGAGGTAATCAGTAGAAGAATTAATGGTATTAGATTTCGTGTAAGTTTAAGGCATACATCGATTACCTTTGAGGAACTAATGTCCTATTGAAAATTCAAATCCAAGTCGATTAGTACAGTACTGCAGCCTGAGATGTTATGACATTATACACAACCAATCTGACCGATTGCTAACATGATATATATATATATATATATATATATATATACAATCTAGTGAGGGTCCCAGTTCCTGAATGGTATACCAGCTGGCCTTGTTTGTAACCGCAAGGTTCTAGGCTCGAACCCCCACTGGGTGAGTACTGCCGATGATCTCCATGTGAGGAAGAGATGAAAGCATGTGGACAGACTTGGAGCCAGCTGAAAACGTTAGCAAAGGAGCCGAAAGGAATGGAGACGTGCGGCTGAAGCCCTTTAGTTTCTCTAGGAGCTAAAGGAAACAATAATAAAAATAATGCCATTTAGTGACCAGTCAATTAAGCTTTATTTTTTCATTGCAGCTTGATTCCACACTGTATTTTTGGTACAAGTATGGAATTTTCAGCATGTGATATCGGTAGCCCAAATTTTACAGGCCTACCATAGATATCAGGTGTGCGTCAGTGGCAGGGGATTGAACCTCGGACCATGTGCATGGTCGGCGAGAGTCCTAACCACTGTGCCACCGACGCTTCATGAATAATAGACACTCTGTACTTCAGCTTCCTTTCAATCTACTGCATTTTACAAAAAAATAATAAAGGAGGACAGAAATATACGGGGAGGGGGTGAGATTGGGGATCCCAACTTACTCCATCTTTGCATGAACTAAACAATGAATCTATTCATCAAGTATTGGTTTTCAGGGATTCGATTAGTTTCAGGATTTCATCATAAGCTGACATCAGTTAGAGAACCATTAGAAATTAATAGGGAGTACTGGACAGCTGGCTGTTTTTTGTTCTAGTTCTTGGGAGGACTCTTTACCAGTACACACCCCCACCCCACCATGGGAGTCAGACCAAGAAGCTTCTGATTACAAGGCGATGAATGTCGTAGACCATTAAATCACTGGGATCAATAACTCATGGATTCCAACATCTGCCAATTGGTTCATGAACCATTGATTAGGTCCCAAAAGATCCTCGGTTCGAACCTATTTTCTACGTTTGTGTAATGCGCTGAAGTATCCCAAGTACTAGAACGAAACAGTCAGCTGTCCAGTACTCCCTGATGATTTTCAATAGTTCGCTAGTTAATGTCAGCTCATGATGAAATCTTGAAATGAATCTATTACCCCCCAGCTGACAAAGGCAATCGGCTGACATCAAACTCTACACTGTTCATAAATGGAACCTGGAATTGAGAAACGACAAGTTTGTCATGACTATGAAGGTGACATTGAAGATGATGGGACGAGGGAACAATTCTTGGAGATAACTGAAAGTTATTAGGGCAGATAAGATATGCCACTGACTGCCCAAACGCATGTCACCCCCACCCCACCCCTCACTACAAATGCAACAAACGAATATCAATAATAATACTAATCACAAATACAGAATACAAAAAGAAAATCCTAGAATAGATTAAATACAAAATATATAAAAATACAAAAAAAAATTTAACAACACTACTTACATCCATAACAGACAACAAAATATTCCTCCTCCTTTTTCTTATCTTTATTCTTTTTTGAGGCGGCACTTGGTTGCCAGGCAATTTGATAGATAGGACCTTTACGTGGCATTGGAACAACAGCACTATCCCCAGACCGACTAGCTGAGACATAATACAAACCCTGATCACCATAATAACTTTCATCACTCAACTATCAAGTGAGAAGTGTACACCAGTGAATACGTCGGGTCGGGTCGGGTTCGGTTGGTGCATGAGGAGGAGGCGGCGGCGTTTAGAGGATGTAGATGATGTAGAAGTAGAAGAATAAAAAGCAAATAGTTAGTATATAAACTGGTAGAATGATGAAATATTTTTTCAACGTAAAATACAGCAAAAGAATAGCGTGAATAACGAGAGCATATTACTGATAAGTTGTGAGTCGTGGAGTTCACCAAGTTGGCTATTTCTGCTTTAACTTTGTTACTTTACAGTCATAGTGGAAGACTTCAAGCTTGAGCTTCGAAGTATCAATAGAAAATGGAACAAAGCGAAGCCGTATGCTACACTCGGAACCAAAGGGAATAATAATAATAATACGTCACAAATTAGGCAGATATTTTGTCATTTTTGGCTGTATTATTATTACAATTATTTTCTATAGTTTGGTTTGTAAGGATTAGTTATGTTTTACGGGTTGATCACGGATTGATATCAGTTAGAGAACCATTGAAAACCAGGGAGTACTGGAGAGCTGTTTCCGTTGTCCTAGGACTTGGGAATCATCGGCAGTACGCACCCACTACACAGGGTTCGAACCCAGAACCTCCTGGTTACAAACGCTCTTATACCATTCAACCACTTTGACCCGATTCACTGGCCAGCCCATGAATTCTAACTTCCATTCGTGATTTAGCGCGACCCCAACCATGTGGATGGATGTCCAACCAACGACAATGATTGGGGTCGCACTATATCACGAATTGGTAGAAGTTAGAATTCATGGGCTGGTGACCATTGAATCGGGTCCCAGTGGACGAATGGTCTTCGAGCTGACTTGCCTTGTAACCGGAAGGTCCTGGGTTCGCCTCTTGGTCGATGGATGCGTACTGCCAATGATTCGCAAACTAGGATGAAACAGCTGGCTGTCCAGTACTCCCTGTGGCTGGTTTTCAATGGTTCTCTAACTGATATCAATCCGTGGTCAACTATTAAAAGCATTACTATTATTCCCTTAGGTTACGAGTGGAACATAGGACTTCTATTCAGTGCTGTCCTCTTCAGACGGCCCCATGATTGCTTATAATCTCTCATTTTCCCCCCTCATACAATCTCCTACATGTAACCCTCGGACACGTGCCTGACTCATTGTTTCCCATTCAGGATCCACTTTGCCTGCGGTCTGGCACGTGATGACATTCAACGATATCCTCACTGTGAACTAGATCCAGGCGGAATTTTTTCATACATAATCGCTGAGCTATTAGTTCTTGGTTGGTTTGTTTCCAGTCAGAGATTCTTGTTGCTGATTATATTTGGCCAGCCAGCTGGTCATCTGATCTTCATCAGTATGGAGTCAGCGAACATGGCGCAGTGGTTGATGTAAGTTTTCAGTTGCCTGTTAAAAAAAAATACTTCTCATGACGCGCAGTGCAAGTTTCCGACCCGTACAGAAGAAGAACTGGCTGACTGACTTTATATTTGTGTTCAAAAGAAACCGAATCTTATTCTTTATGCTGGCTGAGTGGAGTAAAGAAGATGGCTTCCAAACTTGTTTCAGGTTGATGAAGGCGTGTGTATCTTGCCTTTCCGATTCTGGCTGGCTGGCTGGCTGGCCTACTCTGACATCTTCATGCGTTCCAGCTGCCTGTGGTTGAAACCGTGCTTCCTGGCCAAATAACTGGTAGAAGTACCCCCTCTGTCAAATTTCTTCCGTTGATGGTGATATTATTGCTCGTTGTGGTTGTTGCTTTTGGTTGGTTAGTTGGTTGGTAATCTTCATCACTTCCGTCATCCATACGTTCCCCCTGAAGTGCTGTCTTCACCGGTTGCTTCTTCAGCCGGCCAGTTTGTTGCTTTTTTGACCAGCAAGCTTTCCAGTTTGTGTGACACTAGGTCCTAGAATCTTCTTATTGCTCCCTATAAAATACAGTGTCCCGCATAATCCAGTTCACCACAATTGAAAAAATCATCGATGATAATAAGGCAGCTAGAGTCTTGTCTTATGTCCTCATATCTTCATTTCAAACGCTTTAATGAGTTTTCTATTGTGAATCAGTTGACATGAGGTGAATAAAGACTTAAGGCACCAATCACATGCTATATTGTCGAAGTAGTTTTCAAATTACTACATGGTCAACACTAACGAAGGCTTTTTTTTGCGCCCGACCAGAGCAAAGGTTTCTTAGACGAGCACACTCTTTGATGTTAACGGATGAGAAAGAAAAAATGGAAGAAGAAATATCAAACGTTAGTGAAACTCTCAAGCAAAACAACTACCCAAGGAACTTCATCAACAAAATCAACACTGATATTAAATCTGGTCGAAAAGGCATTCCGAAAACATGGACCTCGAAAGTCGTCATTCCATATAGAGCAGTGGTGTAAGACGATATCAGAGTAGAGTACTCAATCAGCTCGATATTGGAGTTTTCTTCAAAACATCAAACACGCACACTGAAAAGCAACCTTGTCCATATAAAAGACCAAATCTCTAAAGATTCTCTATATAGATGTGTCTATAAAATAAAATGCTTCCTTGGCATGTGATGCGATATACATCGGACAAATATCGCCAGAGAGAAATCACAATCAGAAGAAATGAACACCGTAGAGCATCTCTTCGACCACCAAGAAATCCAGTTGAACTAGAAAAACTTCAAAATCACCAGCCATAGGTCTACACACTATAGAATCAGGCCACAAATTGATTTTGACTATATTGAAATAATCCAGAAAAACTACAGAAATCACAAAAAACGTCTAATAGCATCAGAAGCACTTCTCATATTCAATGGAATCCAAATTCTCTGAATAGGAATGACGGACTAAAAACAGAATCTGACCTGGTTACAACACCTCCCTCCCCCATGTGGTAAGCAGTATCATTATATAATAATCACACGCTGTTTTATAATTTTACACAAATTCAACAATCTACGCTTGGTTTTGTTATCTTTACCAATTGGTCAGCTTGACAACAAAAAATGACCCCAGACTGACGAACGATGATCAAGTTAGTTAACTTTATTTTAATATCGTAACAGATGTACTATTGTTGAATTGGATTTTTTGATTTTCCCGTCGATTGATTGGACCGAAGTGCTCGGTCTCAGGTTGACATGTCGGCTTCTTGTGCAGATGCTTCGACGATATCTGGGCATTTAGTTAGGATACAATTGGTGGATGGTGACTAGCAGTGGAATCCAGGATGCTAGTCACCAATTGTATCCTAACTAAATGCCCAGACATCGTCGAAGCATCTGCACAAGAAGCCGACATGTCAACCTGAGACCGAGCACTTCGGTCCAATCAGTTGACGGGAAAATCTAAAATTCAATTCAATAATTAATATGACCCGTTGCACAAGAGGTGGCTCTCGTGGCCCAAGTGGTCTAGTGGATAACGCTTTGGCGTTTGAAGCTATGGGTACTGGGTTCGAGCCTCGGTGGGAACGTGATCACTCACTGAGAAATGCAGGTACATCCAGCTGACGAGTCCCAAATAGGATGAAATGCGCATCCTGGATTCCACTGCTAGTCACCATCCACCAATTGTATCCTAACTAGATGTACTATTACCTTTGTTATTTAATCTAGTGATCTTCATTGTTATTTTGACTTTGAATATATCCCTTCAACTTGACCTAAGTGTCTATTTCCTCACCTCTTAACTCGTTGTTGTATATTTGCTGAGATTTTGTAAATTCCGGTTTAATAGTACACTCATAGAGCTGTTGTGCAGCATTAAATAGCAAAACGTCAGCAATATCATTTTGTTTTTCATTCATTGGGGAATACAAAACAAAACAACCTTTATTTTACGGGTTGATCACGGATTGATATCAGTTGGAGAACCATTGAAAACCAGGTTGGAGTTTCCTGAGTTCTAGTGAGAAGTCGTGACCAGTGAGGTCCAATTAGATGTCACGTGTGTGGATGGATGTCCCACCAACGACAATGATTGGGGTCGCGCTAAATCATGAATTAGTAGAAGTTAGAATTCACGAGCCATTGAATCGGGTCCCAGCGGACGAATGGTATACGAGCCAGCTTGCCTTGTAACCGGAAGGTCCCGGGTTCGAATCCCAGTGGGTGCGTACTGCCGATGATTCCCAAACTAGGATGAAACAGCAGCTGTCCAGTACTCCAGTGCTGGTTTTCAATGCTTCTCTAACTGATATCAATCCGTGATCAACCCGTAAAACATAACTAATCCTTACAAACCAAACTACAGAAAGACAACCTTTATTATAATGAATATCATATACCACCTAATGCCCAAATTTTGTTTCAAACTGTTAAAAGTCAACTTGGTTTGGACATATATCACAAAAACAAACTAATGCTTGAAATTATACTCTGCTGAATAACCCTCAAACGTTTTATCCTTATTCATAAATTTAGTACATAGAACAACAACAACCACACAAAACAAAACACCACTTAACATGAGAGAAAAACAAACCTAGAACGACTTTTAAATAAAGGTCATACATACAGAATTAAATCAATAAAGTTTTCAATAGACTAACAAAATGAGAGGGAGAGAGAGAAAAGTATGTAAGAAAAGTATGTAAGAAAAGTACATATTACGTCATCTAGTGTAACAATTAGTCTTACAACAAACATAAAATAAAACATAGATTGAAGATTAACTAACCAGCTAACTAATCGATATATTTGAATAAGGCATTAAAAAGAAAAATTTCGTGAGATGATATCATTTCGTAGTTTCTTTGTCTTCTTAATGCCTTATTCAAATTTATCAAAGGGACTAATTGTTTTAATAATCGATAAATGAATGAAGAATTTTGGGAAGATGGATATTCAGGAAAATACCCAGTCTCGTTCAGCGAAGAAAAACGACTTCATTTTCAAGCAGCTGTACAGAAGTCGTATTTATATTACGGAAAAAGGGAAGGCATTCAATGGTACCACACTCATCAGGGAAACGGGTGGGAGAAGGCAAATCATAAGTGAAACAATCTCGGAG